ATAGCACAAGGTGTTCTAAAATACTTTTTTCAGCCAGTACGAGATCTGCGATTATTCCACCCAGCCCGCACCAACTTCAGCAGCAAATACCTGTGACCCGGATCCGCGGCGGCAAAGACACTGTGATCGAGATTCACCCGCACCAAGTATCCATCGGCCTCTTAGGGACACACCAGTGCGGTGGCTCCATCATAAGCAACTACCACGTCATAACCGCCGGCCACTGCGCAGTCTTTCCTACCGAGTACATGACCGTGCGAGCTGGTACAAGTTTCCGGGACAAAAAGGGCAGCCTCCACAAGGTTGAGAAGTACGTGAGGCACGAGGACTTCTTTGAAAACGATTTCGGACTGCCAGTCAACGATCTAGCCATAATTAGACTCCAGGACCCGTTCGTTTTCGACGACACCCACCAGCCTATCGAACTGTCCAGTGAGGAGGTACAGCCTGGTAGAGTGGCCGTGGTCACCGGCTGGGGTAACACCGGGGAGGGCTATCTTGCCGATCAGCTGCAGAGCTTGGCCGTAACAATCATATCGAAGGCGGCCTGCAACCTGACTTTACAAGAGGTTAATGGTCTGGGCAAGGGTCAAATATGCACCAAATATATATATATATATATATATGCTTCATTCTCTGTTATTGGAATAAAACATCTTTCTTTACTTAGAAAAATCAGCAAAAAAAAGATTGCATTGTTTTTTTAAAATGAAACTATGTATGCTTTGAACTATCGGAAAACTTTACCGTATGCGTTTGCATGAATGTAATAGTGTTGTTAAAACGAGTAATTTAAAATTGAAACGTGATTACGGAATTATTTATTGAAAGATAGTGAAGTAAGCTGCAATAAATCGTTAATGTTATGAGTTATTAAAGTGTAATTTAACACCATGAAACCTCAAATCTACACGTCAAATGTATATACAATCTTTAAGCACTTGCATGGTTCACTATTTTATTTGTACTAGTATTCATTTTTTTCTCACACGCAGTTAAAGTACTATTGATAAAATATTATATTATGTGGTAAAAATTACCCTACAATAAGTAACTGAATGTATGAAAAAACATACATCCATCGAATTGTATTATGTGTGCACGCTATAAATTAGATTTTGTACATCAACTTATCGAGCTCTGAGAGATTTTTATCGTTTGGAGTGGAAGGATAAAATCGTTGATAAAATTTATTTTACCGTGCGACTTTTATGTGCTCTGCACAGTCTACTAAGAAAAGCGACGGTAAATCAATGGTAAAAATTTTCGCTGCGTGATCCAATTTCGCCGTTCTTTCTTGGTAAACATTGCCAATATTTTAACGCACCACTGTTAATTAGGAAAAAGTCGAACACTAAATGAACCTTTTTTTTTTACCATGGGCGGTCTTTGCGCTCTCGGGACTCACTTTGCGCCCTTAAATAACTTTTTTCTTTCGAAATAAAAAAATATGTAAGTACATAACGCCATTAGGTGCCAAAATTGGGCACAGAAGTCACACATTTTTCCTTATTGACAAAAACTACAATTATTGTCATTGGCTGTACGGCTTTACACCCTAGAAAACACTTTACGCCCATGGTTGGTAGGTAAGCAAGTACAAAGTGTGCCCGTTCTATTCACCCTTAGACTTTGTACCACAAAATAATGTAAGCTCCTAAGTTTACTGGAGTTTAAAAGTCGTAATTTGCGTCCACGTGTAACATAAAATTACAATTTTTACCTTTTGTGAAGGCTCTATTTTCATGGTGTAGTTTTGTGGTTACGATTTCAACTCCCCAATTGTGTCATAGTTTTGCCTTTTAAATTATCGTCTGTTTTTTTAATATTATTATGACAATAAAAATAAAGATGTGATTATTTTTATGAAGGAGTAACGATAATTTGTAAAAACTTTCATCAGTTACTCACNATAAACAATCAATCAATTTATGTTCTACAATAAGTTTATCATCAAAATCAAACACATTCCTTTAGGGAAGTTACATGAAAAACCCACGACGCTTGAAGGATTTTTGTAAAAAAAATAATCAAAGATCAAATCATTACAAGAAAAAACAGTAACTAAATGTATCATAGAAAGAGCGAGGATAAAATACATGCTCAAAACTCATTAAGATAAGATACGCATTTTTTCGATTCGAATCCAGTCTCAATCCAAACGTTATTATACATTTTTATTTTTTTTGTATCTTCCAGTACGTCAATTACGAAAAAAGTATTTAACATATGTAAAAATAATAATAACTAATTATAACTAATAATAACTATTATCGGATTCTGCTCTCAGGCTCAAATCTGAACTCTATTATTTCTTAATATCGATTTTTATGACTTATGAATTATTTACTAATTTAATTTCGCTTTTATGGTGATATGGTTTTGTAACTGCTTATTCAACTGCAATATTCATTCCTTAAAAATATTATTCTCTTTTTTTTTGTATCTTTCAATAACACTTTCAGCATGTATCTAGATTTATCATAAAAAATAGCACAAGGTGTTCTAAAATACTTTTTTCAGCCAGTACGAGATCTGCGATTATTCCACCCAGCCCGCACCAACTTCAGCAGCAAATACCTGTGACCCGGATCCGCGGCGGCAAAGACACTGTGATCGAGATTCACCCGCACCAAGTATCCATCGGCCTCTTAGGGACACACCAGTGCGGTGGCTCCATCATAAGCAACTACCACGTCATAACCGCCGGCCACTGCGCAGTCTTTCCTACCGAGTACATGACCGTGCGAGCTGGTACAAGTTTCCGGGACAAAAAGGGCAGCCTCCACAAGGTTGAGAAGTACGTGAGGCACGAGGACTTCTTTGAAAACGATTTCGGACTGCCAGTCAACGATCTAGCCATAATTAGACTCCAGGACCCGTTCGTTTTCGACGACACCCACCAGCCTATCGAACTGTCCAGTGAGGAGGTACAGCCTGGTAGAGTGGCCGTGGTCACCGGCTGGGGTAACACCGGGGAGGGCTATCTTGCCGATCAGCTGCAGAGCTTGGCCGTAACAATCATATCGAAGGCGGCCTGCAACCTGACTTTACAAGAGGTTAATGGTCTGGGCAAGGGTCAAATATGCACCAAATACGAGGGTAAAGATAAAAAGGACGCTTGCAATGGAGACTCCGGGGGTCCCCTTACTCTGGATGGAAAACTCGTGGGTATAATCTCTTACGGAGACGATTGTAGATTGCTCGAGTATCCGGGGATGTATACCGAAGTCGCTTACTTTTATCACTGGATAGTTCAACATCGTAATTTTTAGAAGGGCGTATTTGATAAAGATAATAAAAATATGTGTTTATTGAGAACGTGCGTAATAAATTGGCCTTTAAAATTGGGATCAGAATATTGCTACGTATAAGTGACGTATGAGAATAGATGTTTTATGAAAAAATAAGAATAAAAATCAATTTTAAAATCATTTTTTAAATCAATGTCATTTTGGAAACCATCTTATATAAAAAAAATATTTACGAGAGTTGAAAATCACAGTACACTTTTACACAAAATTGTTCCGTTTGTATTATATAATTGCTATGTGTGCATACATCTCCCCATATTATATAGTTATTTATGTGGAGAATTTCACACACAGCCTCCGATGATCTCCCATAGCCCTCCCCACAAAGTAAGAGAAAATTCAGTCTTTCTCCGTTATTTCGACTTATAACATTTTTGGTCCCCCATTCCCCCCCCCCCCACAGACCCCCTTTCACGTGATTTTCCTGGACCCCCACATCCCCTGCAAACTCTTTACATACTTGAATCTATACCTATTTTCATATTTTTTTTCTACATTGCCCAGGGGACTGGACTTGATACAAACGAATAATGAATTTACATGTATTTGTAATATTTATGATCAACAACATATAATCATAAATCAGTTTATATCAATTTTATTTTGATGTATTAGTAAGTCTAAAGTTCCTGGTGTTAAATGTTATTCTTGGAATGAAAACTTTACTGCCTATTTTTTTGAATTATTCCACCTTCGACGTTATACTTCAAAAATTAAGTGATTCTTAATCGTGTACTATTACACATAAGTACACATACCGTGTGATGTACTGAATTTCCGAATTAACTCTACTATTATTCCTATTTTCAATTTAAGTTTATGAGGTGACAAGCCTTCACAAATATTGTTTATCATTTCTATACGAAAATTTGTATGAATATCATCATCTGATTTACCAACACCTTTATACTTTACGTTATATTATGTGCTGTAATATTAAGTTTTAGTTCCTCAATTGAATTTACTTAAAACTGTATTGTTTTAAATAACCTATATGTGAAGTACGACACTAGTAACTGAATAATTAGTAGAGTCACTATGTATACATTACTACAGAAAGTATTTGATATCCATTTTTTAAAAATATTAAAAGTTTTTCTGTTTCTCTTGGCTTAATTTTTCATGATAATTAAAAAAATTACTGTTTATTAGAAAGAATATTAACTTTTAATTTCAAAATTCAAAATAAAATCTATAGAAATAACAGTTTAATAAAACTTACTTATTTATAATTATTTCAATATCTCCTTATTCAAATTTATTGAGTTAAACATTTCTTTCCTGAAAGATATTTCTTCATCCATACAATTTTGTGTATCTTTAATTTGTTTTGGTATAGGCAAATTAAAACATTAACATGATATATCTTCTGATTCTTAAATTTGGTTTACATGTAATAGAGCAGAATTATCTTCATGATTAACAGAATCCTCTGTAAAAAATTCCCTCTATTCATTCCATACTTTATCGCTGGTACTCTGTAAAATATAACGACCCGGGAAGAGACATATCGATAGTCTGGGATTTTCGGGCAATCGCAACGCTGCCCTTGTTGATCATAGCCATTCCAAAACGGCCTCTTGGACCCAGGAGGAGTGTACGTGAGAGACGATCGTCAGAACCGGTGTGTGTTGAAACCCACTATATATCCGAGCGAGGTGCCATTTTCCTCAGGTTTGGCGTCACCGTCGCCTGTGGACCATTCTGCCTCCTATTCGCTGAATCTCCACCGTATTCGAGGTATCGTATGTTGTAACTCAATTCTTATACCACCACTCGCCCGCGTGCAGTGTGAGTTGTAAGTCATCAAAAACCGCGAGAAGCCACTCGGTTAAACATTTTACACGTATACCTCATTAAGATAAGATACGCATTTTTTCGATTCGAATCCAGTCTCAATCCAAACGTTCAGGGTTTGAAGTTTTGTACATAATTGTTAAACAGTGATTTGAATTCATAAAAACAAATAAAAGAAATAAAAAAAGATTGTGTTCTTACTGTTATTTTATTGTGTCACCTATTGTGTATTTACATTACATGTACCTGTATATGCATGACAAAAAAATATACTATTTGTCTGTAAAATTGTAAAATTCTCTACAGTCCTAGAACAAATTATTGTTCTTACACCGAAAAGAAAAATCACTTAAAAATGAAAGAGTAACATTAGTTAATTCTGACACTATTGCAAATAGCATAAATTAACTTACAACGGTGAAGGTTCAAAGCGTTTCGTCATAAATTCTAAAATAAATGTCACTAATGCCATGCCCATTCCAAACGCTAAAACGAATAAATGTGGAGCGAATTCGTATATATTAATGCTTTCTGAGGTAAACACATTTTTCAAACACTGTGGTCTCTTGACCGACCATCGTGTTATTTGACGCTTAAGGAGTCCAACTTCGGCGAATTTGGTCAAACTGTTTGATAATAGTATTTTTTTATTTATTTTTTTTTTTTCATTACAATCCTTCAAATAAAAATTTGCGTTTAAGTAATTTTTAACTCACCCGATTCTCGTCATTTCGATAAATGAGTTGTTAGGATGGAAGCCGGGGTTAAGGTAAGTCAATCGCAATAAGTTTACCTCAGTAAGTTCACATGTTTCTCGATTATTGAACAGCTGATTAATAAATTCGTATGCTACGTCCGGATGAGTGTGGTAGGCATAGTGTCCTTTTTGAACTAAGCGTACAGCTGCTGCTGGTTCGTTCCATTTTTCTTTTTCTGATAATTTTTTCCAAGCTACATTAGCAAACGTACGAGTCTCCCAATCAGGTTGCTATACTTATACATGAAGGAAAAAAAAAACTTAATTATGTCAATCACTACATTGATTTTCTCTTTCTACATCAACATGATGGTAAGCTACTTGTATTCGCTGTGTGCAAGTTGGTGGAGGAGAGGGCTGGCCCTTTTACATGTAGTCTTATGGAGTTGTCCAACAAATCCGCCAGTGGTGGCCGTGTCAACTAATTTTTTCCCATAAGTCCGGCAAAGTGCACTGAACTTGCACACAGCGAATAGTGACAATATTAGAATATTTTCTAAATTATTAAATAATCGAGTGTATCGTATAACGCTACAACATTAGAGTCAAGTTAACAGTCTAATAATTGCTGTAACGTGATTTATAATATGTTACACTTTTAGTCTTAAAATATTATTAGAAAGCATGAACATTGGATTAAAATATAGAAGTACACCTTAGCATATAATAAGCTCAAGATGTAACTTTTATTATAAGAAATTCTCAAACATAACGCAGGAAAATCTCAATTTCAATGTAAGATTTTCCTGTTATGTTCGCAGATGTCTAATAACCAAAGTTACGAAAATTTGATTATATCCTATTTATAGACAGCCTTCCAATGTTATTTAACATATGTAGCCATGCTTGCATATTTTTATTACACATACAAGCTTTCTTATAAAATTTTCTATAAAAAGTGTGAAAATATTACGTAACATTATGAATCACATTACAGTAGTTACTAGACTGCGAACTTGATTTCACAGTGTGGTAGAGTTACACGAGTTACTCAACCAGTTGCTAATTAAGAAAACATTAAAATTTTATCTCAATAAAAGTACCTGTAAACTTATTGAATGAACAAAAAAATGTTTACTCACATTAATCAGTAATTCAAAATAAGGCATGGTTTCCGACGCGAAAATCAAATTTTTTTTTGAAAGTTCGGCCAGACTATCATTTATCTTGAAAATCGGTTTATCCAAACGTATCGATACAATACTAGCAGAGTAAAAGTTATAAAAGAGAAAGCCAAAAATCGTTATAAAGAATGACATAATACGAATAGACGTACTTGTCATTGTCATATCTGTTCCTGAATTAAAATAGATTAGTCATTATTGCATTAAAAAATAAGGTGATAATCAAAAGCTATTTACCTTGCTGACTAATTGCTCCCACGAAAAATAAAAAAGAATCTGAACATCGGCTTAAAAAATTGCTGCTAGTACTGTATTGAAAAATTAATACACAAATTAAGGTAGTAAAAAAAAAGAGCGCAGCTGTGAGGTACCACACTTCTTTTTCAAGAGGTCCAAGAACTTCATTAATTCTTATCATTTTGGGCTGAATACTCCGAAACAAGAAGCATGTTCTAAAATTCAAATTTAAAAAACAATTAGTGCGATTCGTTAAAAAAAAAAAAAAACTTATTTATTTCTTTTTATAATTACCACCTTGTTGGGAGCAAACTAACGGTGTANACGCTAAAACGAATAAATGTGGAGCGAATTCGTATATATTAATGCTTTCTGAGGTAAACACATTTTTCAAACACTGTGGTCTCTTGACCGACCATCGTGTTATTTGACGCTTAAGGAGTCCAACTTCGGCGAATTTGGTCAAACTGTTTGATAATAGTATTTTTTTATTTATTTTTTTTTTTTCATTACAATCCTTCAAATAAAAATTTGCGTTTAAGTAAATTTTAACTCACCCGATTCTCGTCATTTCGATAAATGAGTTGTTAGGATGGAAACCGGGATGAAGGTAAGTAAGTCGCAGTAAATTTACTTCGGTAAGCTCACAAGTTTCTCTGTTACTAAACCACTGATTAACAAATTTGTATCCCACATCTGATTGAGTGTGATAAGCATAGTGCCCTTTTTGAACCAAGTGCATGGCCGTTGCTGGTTCGTTCCATTTTTCTTTTTCCGATAATTTTTTCCAAGCTACATTAGCAAATGTACGAGTCTCCCAATCAGGTTGCTGCGTGAGAGTAAAAAATTTACCGTACGAACATGTGATTGGTCTTGTCTTTAAATTTATTTTCCTTTAATCCCTGAGCACTCACATTGATTAGTAGTTCAAAATAAGGTAATATTTCCGAAGACAACGGATAATTTTTCTTCGAAAGTTCAACCAAGCTGTCGTTAATTTTCAAAATTGGCTCATCCAAACGTATCGATACAATACTAGCCGAGTAAAAATTGTAAAAAAGAAAACCAAAATTCATTACAAAAAATAAGGCTATGCGAGTAGACGTACGTATCATCGTCATATCTGTTCCTGTATGGAGAAAAAAAAAGACAGCCATTGTTTGATTTAAGACCAAAAAACAAATAATGAGGCTTTTTTACCTTGC